TGGTAATGATGATGAGTATGATGATGATGATGATGATGATGATGATGATGATGAGGATGAGGATGATGATGAAGACGGGAGGAGAGAGGAAGGGGGAGGAGGAGGAGGAGAAGGAGAGGAGGAGGAGAAGATCGGGGGGCGACGTCTCTTCAAAACGAGGACCCAACACCACCGGATGGTTGGGAAAATGATTAGTGGAACGTCTGCGCCATGAAAGTACCGACAGTCACAGGTATCCAGGTATCCCTAGCGTTTTCTTATTTTTCCATGTGAAAGCAAAGGTTGAGTCATGTGTGACATGTTGTTCCTGTTTTCCTCTCGCGCATGTCTGGGCTCAAGGTGCCGCCACTGCAGATCCCCACACAATGACAATTTGTTGTAAGGCCGCCACAGGAAAACTCCCGTTGTAGAGGGTGTTACACAACGATGATAAGTGTGGGGGTCACTGCAGGTCACAAAACGGAATCGTTTTGTTTGTAAAGGCTGCTACACAACATATTTTTATTGTGGAACGTTTGCACCGTGAAAAACCGACTGTCACAGGTCTTCCTGTTTTTTGTTTTCCCATGTGAAAGCGCAGGCTTTGTCAGTCCCCACATGCTTAGTGGGGTTCTGGTTTTCTTCCTTCTCGCGTCGCACCCGCGTCTCCTCCTCATCACCCCTCCTCCTTCTCCTTCTCACACAGCACAGCGCACGCAGCGCAGCACAGCTCAGCTCAGCACAGCACAGCACCGCACAGCACACAGCACAGTGACACACAGCACGCAGACAGCACAGCACTGCTCAACACAGCTCAACTCAGAACAGCACAGCTCAGCTCAGCACAGATCAGCACTGCACAGCGCAGCACAGCACCTCAGCACAGCTCAGCAAAGCACTGCACAGCGCAGCACAGCTTCCAGCTTCCCCACATGTTTCGTGGGGTTCTGGTTCCCCACATGCTTCGTGGGCTTATGGTTTTCATCCCTGCCGCGTCGCACCTGCGTCTCCTCCTCACCCACCTCCCTTCCCTCCTCCTTCCTCCCCTCCTCCACTTCCTTCCTCCCTTCACTCACACGCAACCCATGCACGGCACGTGCATCAGACACGCGTCTGTGTGTGTCTATGTGTGTGTGTCTGTGTGTGTTTCTGTGTGTGTGTTTGTGTGTCTGTCTACGTCTGTGTGTGAGTCTGTGTGTGTCTGTGTGTGTGTGTCTGTGTGGTTGGCTGTGTGTGTGTGGCTGTGTGAGTGTCTGTCTGTATGTCTGTGTGGGTGTCTGTGTGTGTCTCTGTGTGTTTCTGTGTTTGTCTGTGTGCGTGTCTATGTGTACGTCTGCGTGTGTCTGTGTGTGTGCTTGTGTGTGTGTGTGTCTGTGCGTGTCTGTGTGTGTGTCTGTGTGTGCTGTTTTGTGTGTATCAGTTTGCGTGCTTGTGTGCTTGTCTGTGTCTTTCTTTGTGTGCCTGTGTGTGTCTATGTGTGTCTGCGTGTGTCTGCGTGTGTGTTAATGTGTCTGTATGTCTGTGTGTGTCTGCCTGTGTTTGCCTGCCTATGTGGCTTTCTGTGTGTCTCTGTGTGTGTGTCTGCGTGTGTGTGTGTGTGTGTGTGTGTGTCTGTGTCTGTGTCTGTCTGTGTGTGTGTCTGTGTGTGTGTGTCTGTGTCCGGGTGTGTCTGTGTTTTTGTGTGAATGTGCGTCTGTGCGTGTCTGCGGGTGTGTCTGTGTATGTCTGTGTTTGTGCCTGTGTGTGTGTCTGTGTATGTGTGTCTGAGTGTGTCTGCGTGTGTATGTTTGTGTGTTTGTCTGCGTGCGTGTGTCTGTGTATGTGTCTGTGTGTGTCTGTGTGTGTCTGCGTGTGTGTGTGTGTGCGTGTGTGTGTGAGTCTGCGTGCCTGTGTGTGTGTGTCTGTGTGTGTCTGCGTGTGTCTGTGTGTGTGTGCCTGTCTGTGTGTGTCTGTGTATGCCCTTGTGTGTGTGCCTGTGTGTGGCGCGGTGTGTCAGTGTATTTCTTTGTGTGCGTCGGTGTGTGTATGTGTGTATGTGTGTGTGTCTGTGTGTTTGTGTGTGTGTCTGTGTGTGTGCGTCTATGTGTGCGTGTGTGTGTCTGTGTGTTCTTGTGTGTCTGCGTGCCTGCTATGGCTGTGTGTGCCTGCGTGTGTATCTAACTGCATGTGTGTGCCTGTGTGTCTGTCTGTTTGTGTGCCTGTCTGTGTGTCTGTGTCCGTGTATGTCTGCGTGTGTGTCTGAGTGAATGCGCATGTCTGCGGGTATACATGGGTGTGTCTGTGTGCCTGTGTGCGTCTGTCTGTGTGTCTGTGTGCCTATGTGTGTTTGTGTCTATGTGTGTGTGTCTGTGTGTCAGTGTGTGTGTGCCTGTGTGGGTGTTGGTCTGAGTGCGCGTGTGTGTACCTGCGTGTGTGCGTGTGTGTGTGTGTCTGTGTGTGTGTCTGTGTGTCTGTCTGTCTGTCTGTGTGTGTGTCCGTGTGTGTTTGTTTATGTGTCTGCGTGTGTGTCTGTGTGTGAATGTGTGTGTGCGTCTGTGTGTGTGGGTGTGGTTTGGGGTGGGGATCGAGGGTCGGTGCGCGTGCGTGCGCGCGTTGCGTGCGCGCGCTCGTGTGTATGTGTGTGTGTGTGTGTGTGTGTGTCTGTCCGTGCGTGCGTGCGTGCGTGCGTGTGTGTGTGTTCCGAGGACAAGCAGCGATCGAACATTGAGATCTGTACACAGCGTCTGCACCGCCATCCCGTTCCCCCGTTCATCATCATAGTACTCCTCATGCCCCCCGCCGTCTTCCCTCGTCGCCTGCGCCACTGATGCAATCGTCTTCTCTTCTCGCTTGCACTGCGAGAGCATGAGGCGAATGTGTGCGTGTGTGGTTTGTATGCAATCCTCCCCCCTGCTACGCAAACATGTGTTGCGTCTCCTTCGCTCCTCCTGCCTCGGTTCCTCCTATCTTTCTCGTGGTATCGTCAATTCTTCCTCTTAATCGTCCTCCTCCTCCTCCATCGTACGCTCGGTTCCTCCTTCGCCTCCTCCTCCTCCTCTTCTTACTCCTCCTATTCTTCCTCCTCCTCGGTATCCTCCCTCCCCCCCTCCTCCACATCCTCCGTCTCCTCCTGCCCCCCCCCCCCCCTTCCTCCTCTCTCGTCCTCGTGTTGCTCTCTCTTCCCTTGTGTTCCTCTCGCCCCATCGCCCACCACCACCGTCCTCTCGTATTTCGCGCCCCCGTTGCACCCTCTCCACCCCATCAACCGCCCCCCCTACACAAATGTCCTGGCAGGGAGCCCCGTGTCCCTGTCGAAGGCGGCGTCCGAGAGCACATCCGCCGCCGCTGCCAGTGCGCGCCGAGGCCCCACAGGGTGGGGAGGGGGGGAGGGGGAATGGAGAACAACATGAGGGTGGGGGGGGGGAGGGAAAGGGGCGGGGGAGAAAAAGAGAGGAGCGGAGGGAGAGGAGGCGGGGGAGGAGGGGGCGGGGGAGGAGGAGGGGACGTAGGAGGAGGGCGCGGAGAAGGACGGCAGAGGAGGAGGAGGAGGGGGGAGGAGGAGGGGCCGGGGGACAAGCTAGGTGCGCTCGCGTCAGATCTGACATCCTACCCCTCCCTCCCATCCCTTAACATGGCGTAGATCCCCTCTCTACTCGCACAGTCGGATGTCGAGCAGGGCAATGATCCCGAAATGGTACGCGATGCATTGTAGAGCACGGCATGGCATGGCGTAGAAGAGCAGCGCAAAGCGTAGTATGTCACAGCATGGCGTGGCATGGCGTAGTGAAGAATTGCATCACAAAGCTTTGCAACGCAAAGCATGGCATCGCACAGCGGCCCCGAACATAACATTGCATAGCATTGCGTTGAAGATCAAAGCGTAGCATGGCATAGCACGACGTGGCACTTAAGCACTGCATCTCACAGCTTCAACTGAAGGCATGGCATCGCGCAGCGGAACGCAACCTAGCATTGCATTGCATGCCGTGGCATGGCACGGGAAATGACGCCAGCGCTGCAGCGGGAGCACGATTCGGAACGAGCGGAAGCGCGGGAATGAGGCCAGCGCTGCAGCGGGAGCACGATTCGGAACGAGCGGAAGCACGGAAATGAGGCCAGCGCTGCAGCGGGAGCACGATTCGGAACGAGCGGGGCCCGAAAATGAGGCCGGCGCCTCAGCGAGAGCAGCATTTTGAAAAAAATGCAGGCGAAAACCCAACTCCGGGGAATCCTGTGTGTAAAAAACAGTACGCGGGGGGGGGGGGGCGAACACTCCCAACCCGTCATCAGGGGAAGGAGGAGAGTAGTATTCATATTGAGTAATCGTGGAGGAGAGGGGCGTGGAGGAAGGAGCGGGGGAGGAGGCGAGGGGACTGGAGGCGGGAGAGGGGCCTTCACCCCGCGGCCTCCTGGCGCTCTTCGCCAACGAGACGAAGCACAAAGCGCGGCGGCCGAAGCCGAGCGCCTCGGAACGGAGACGGGGGGGGGGGGCAGGCCACGTGACGGAGAGGGGAACTGTCTGGCTGGGCTGCACCGCCAGGGCGCTGAAGTCAGGGCCGCGTGAGGCTCGGGGAGGGGCTCGGGCGTGCGGGCCCCTCCTCGGGCCCAGGTCGGGGAACCCAGGTTCGCGGCCGAGGCTCGCCGTGGTCGGGGAGGCCCCTCCGGTCCCCGTGTGGCGTCCCTTGTGGCGTCGGCGTCTGCTGTGATGCTGCAGCCTGTCAGCGCCGCAGTCAGAGGAGCAGGGGCGGCCCCAAGAGCAGCAAGCGAACGTGCAAGGAGAGGAGTTCAACCACCCTCCGCCCCTGCCTCGCCCCTCCTCCTGTCGCCTTTCCTCCCTCCCTTTCTCTCTCACTCCGTCCCCCCACCCCTCCCCGAACGAGCGAGGGCAGGAACGCCTTCGGCAAGGCTCGGGGGTCCGTGGCCGTATCTCCGAAGTGCGCCCGCTGCCTTCTTGGGGGGGGCATCGCGGCCTAGTCGCGGTCGACACAGCCGGCCCGTCGGCCGCCGCCCCTCTGGTTCGTCTCCTTCCTCCGGGGACGAGCATGACGGGGACGGAGGATGTAGATGCTGGTGCCCGCTGCGGCCCCACCATATGCCAGGGTGTGGGAGCTCGCTGCTCCGAATGTGGAGGTCGGCCGCGGCAGCATGTGGGCTCCTCCCTGCTTCCTGATGTCTCTTCCCCGTTCCTCCCCTCCGCTTTCCTCGAAGTCCTCGCCTTCCACCTCCAGGAACCCCCACACCCTGGCCCTCCAGGCGGGGGAATAGTTCTTCCAATGCCACACCGAAGCCCGAACAACAACGGAAATCTATGCACGCCGTGTGCGCCTCAGCCGCATGTATGTTTTTGCTCCTTTCCCCTTATACACGAATATAATAGTAGTATTAAAAGTAATACTACAACTACTATGAATAATAGTAATAGTACTCGCAATCATCGCACTTATATCAGTACTAGCAATACTAGCAATTACGCTACCGAGGAACCCCACATACTTATTTTATGTCCTGTGTGCACCACACTGCCACTACAACCGCCATCACCACGAGCCAGACGAGCCAGCTAGCCCAACCAATCAGACTAAGTTGACCAAGCAGACTAGACTACATACGCAGAACGACTGTTCCATCGGCGTCGTCGTCCTTGTCCTCGTCGTCGTCGTATTAGTCGTACTAGTCGTCGTACTCATCGTCGCGCGGTGGGCCCCCACCCCCCGCGCACCCCCTGTGGCGTCGGGGAAATGCCACTCCTTCTAGGCCCTGCGACATTGGCGCGCATAGAGACCGCGGTGGGCCCCCACACCCAGCGCACCCCCTGTGGCGTCGAGGAAATGCCACGCCTGCTAGGTCCTGCGACACTGGCGCGTATAGAGACCGCGGTGGGCCCCCACCCCCAGCGCACCCCCTGTGGCGTCGAGGAAATGCCACTCCTGCTAAGCCCTGCGACACTGGCGCGTATAGAGACCGCGGTGGGCCCCCACCCCCAGCGCACAACCTGTGGCGTCGAGGAAATGCCACTCCTGCTAGGCCCTGCGACACTGGCGCGTATAGAGACCGCGGTGGGCCCCCACCCCCAGCGCACCCCCTTGTGGCGTCGAGGAATTGCCACGCCTGCTAGGCCCTGCGACATGGCGCGTATAGAGACCGCGGTGGGCCCCCACCCCCAGCGCACCCCCTTTGGCGTCGAGGAAATGCCACGCCTGCCACGCTTTGCGAGACCGAAAACGCATAGGGCCCCCACCCACAGCGCACCCCCTGTGGCGTCGAGGAAATGCCACGCCTGCCACGCTCCGAGAGAGCGAAACGCATAGGGCCCCCCCCCCCAGCGCACCCCCTGTGGCGTCGAGGAAATGCAACGCCTGCTGCGGCTTGCGAGCCCGAAACGGATAGGGGGACCACCCCCAGCGCACCCCCTCTGGTGTCGAGGAAGTGCCACGCCTGCTATGCCTGGACGACCGTTGTGCATAGCGGCCATATCGGGACGTGTCTCATGTGGGTGCCCACTATGTTGCGCACACGTCGTGGATGTGTGATGCAGTGAACACGCCAGGCGCGCACTAGCGTTGTATGGTGTGTGTGTTGTGTGCGAATGTGTGCATACGTGCGGCTGTATGTAGACGCGTATGTCATGTACTTGCCGTGCATGTGTTGAGCGCGGGTGAGGAGAGGACGAAGAGGGAGGAGGGGAGGTGTCAGGAGACGCGGGTGCGCCGCGGCAGGGAAGAAAACCATAACCCCACGAAACATGTGGGGAATAATACTACTACGACCCGTAATACTAGTATCCATATCAAAAGTAGTTATAATTAGCTTACGAAGAGTAACAAGACTGGTCATAGTAACACTAATAGTAAGAAAAACACGCACAATAATAATAATCGTAATGATAGCAATGCGAACCATACTAGTAATACTGATACTAAGAATCACACTAACAACGTAAGGGAGCGCTCTTCTGCGATGGGCCCCTCTTGGGCCATCCAGCCCTTTAAGCCCACTTGTGCTCAAGAGGCTTACGCCATTCCGCCGACCCTCGAGAGAGGACACGTGCGGCTTCCGATGTCAAGTGTGTGCTACTTGTCGCTGCAAGTCGTGATGCCTGGGTGTAATTGATGCTGATGTCCCTCCACGTCTGTTGCGAGCGAGGCGTCTTCGCGGCCTCTTGGAGGCCTCGGTGGCGGCCCCGTGGAGGCCTTTCCGGGCTCCTGGGGGCTTCTTGTGGCCTTCTTGGAGGGTTTGGGCGGACGTGTTGGGAGTCTTGGGGTCCTCTTGGTGGGGGGGACCTGGGGCCCCTGCGAGTTTCGCCCATTGGGCCTCTCTTCGGCCCCTCCTGGGGCCCTCTTGGGGGCCTCTCTTTGGCTGTCTTGGAGGCCCCGTGGGCCGTCCTGGGGATCTCCTGGGCTGTCCCTGGGCCCTCTTGGGGGGTTTTTGGGGCCGTGATCGGCTGGTCTGGGGGGGGGGCCTCGCGGACCGCCTGGGGCTCGAAGAGGCCCAGACAAGCGAGAGCGCAAGCATATACAAAAACCATGTGAGCATCAATGATGTTCACCTTGTGAGGCTCGCTGGGGAGTTCTCTCGGGACCCTCTTGAGGCGTCTTGGGGGCCTTGCCGGCCTTGTGGAGGCCATCTCGGGTGTTCTTGAGGCCGATCGGGCATGTTGGCGCCATTCCTGGTCCATCTCGGAAGGCATCTGTCATCTTGGAGCCCACGCGTGGTGCATTTCGATGCTCCGAGGGCCCCGAAGGTGCGTTGACGAGCTCGTCTCCTCACCCTCACCCCTGAAACGAGCTGTTAGACCCTGGGGGACAGCCAATGTCCTTAACGCCTCTGTGCCCCTGGCAAGCGGGGGCCGGCGGAATCAGGAGAGTAGATGGGGCCAGGTTTGGGTCTGGTTTGGGCGCGGCTTCGACCGTGATCATGGTGACAAACGGTCCTCTCGATTCGGCGGCCGCGGCCCTAGAAAAACACGGAGCTCAGCAGTTACGCGCTGCAAAGTATGCGGTGCAAGCTGTGTGGTGTAAGCCCAAATCGCCTCGCCCTCGACGTGCGACCGGCTGCAAGCTGGCGTTGGCCCGCGGACTGGCGTTGGGGGAAAATTGTCCCGGTCCTGAAGAGAGAGCCTTCGCCCTCCTCCTCCTCCTCCGCCTCCTCAGCCTCCTTCTCCTCCTGCTCCTCCTCCTCCTCCTCCTCCTCCTGCTCCTCCTCCTCCTCCTCCTCTCCTCCTCCTCTCCTCCTCCTCCTCCTCCTCCTCCTCCCCCTCGCCCTCGTCCGCCTCCTCCCGTGCCCGCATCTCCTCCCCACGCAGGCACCGCCACCGACGCTCCAGCGAACGGCACCGGCTCGGAAGCGGAGGCTGCCCGGGCCTGCCTCGAGGTCGCGCGGAGGTTGACGGAGGCCGCCGTGGCCGGCGAAGCAGGCCAGCGGCCGCCCCGGTGCCGACGGTCGCCAGGGCCGACGACGATCGCCATGGCCAGCAATCGTCGCGGTTGGCGGTGGTCGTCGTCGGTTGGCGGCCAGCGTGGCGGGAAGGGGAACACGGTCTCGGGTGCTCTCTTCGGCGTGATCTAGACGGGGGCAGCTTGAGAGAGGAAGAGCGAGAAGCAGGGGGAGGCAGAGGATGGTCAGGAGCGGCAGGAGGAGGAGGAGGAGGAGCGGACCTCATTCTCCTCCTTCAGCCACCAAGCGATCCTGCCACCCATAAGGGGGTCGAGGAGCCTGTCGCGCACCACTTCGTCGAGCACAACGGCTGCGGTTACATCTCTGCAGCAGGACGCCTCGCAGCACGGCGCGTTGCAGCATCACGACCTTCACATCCACGCGTGGTGCGTGCAGTGCGCCGAGCAGTCGAGCATCTTGTTGAGCAGCACGGTGGTTGCTGGAAGTGCGGCGAAGGGGAGCAGCGCCGTTTTGACGTTGCGCAGTTGGGTGGTTAGTCCGGTAGTCCCCCCCGTGCCACCTGAATTAGTTGATGGACAGAAATCGGCAGCGTGACATTGAACATCATGCCTGCGAACGACAGCACGACGCTGACATCCACGAGTGGGATGAGCCATGCCTCGAATACCACGAAATTGAGTGTCACGATTCGCGCCAGCATTTCGATGGTGATCAGCATATCGAAGAAACTCAGCACGGGTCTGACATCCACGAGTGGGGCGAACAGCGCTTTGAGTACCACCTCGCTGGGTCGCACGACGGGCAACAGCCGTACGACGTTGCGTAACACGACGGGGTGCAGCATCACCCGAATGTTTCACCACTAGGGCCATTCATAGACTCTCGCAGCAGCACCAACGTGGGGATGAGTACGATAAGAAGCAGCAGTTCAGCTCGCAGCCGCACCAGCTATATCATCGACTCCATGCTGTTCGGTACGACGGGCACGCAGCATCATCAGTCGCAGCGGTACAAGTCCGCTCGCCCAGAGACTGCTCGCCAAGAAGCCCGCTCGCCTAAAAGCCCGCGCTCGCCCAGAGACCGTCCGCCCGTGCATGAGCCCGCTCGAGATCGCCCGGCAGCCCGTTCTGGGCTGGGCTCTGCGGCTGGGCAGCCCCTTCGGGACGAGAAGGGCGAGCGGACCCCAGCGGGCGGGTCGGGCGGAAGGACCCTTTTGGGTGGGCCGGGCGGGCGGGATACCGAAGCGGGCGGGTGGGGGTTCAAGTGAGCGAGGGCGCGCCAGGCAGTCCCCAACGGGCGGGGCGGGTGGGGCCGGTGGCCCTGACCTTCTTGGAGGGCTACAGAATAGCCGCGGGACCTCGACATCCAAGTTCTAGTCGAGGTTTTAAGCAGTCAAGTTCTGGAAGGCTATTCCTCGCACTCTGGAAGGTTATTATAGGGGGGCGGACCATAACGGACGGGTCGGGCGGCTCGAGCGGGCCAGACATTGAAGCGCTGCCGGCGCGGTCTCTGCGGGAGCGGTCTCTCTGCCAGAGCCATCTCCGCTGGAGTGGGCTTTGGCCAGAGCGGGGGCCTGCCGGAGCAGGACTCTGCGGAAGCAGGCATGTGCGGGAGCAGGTTTCTTCTGGAACGTGCTGCAAGAGCGGGCTTCTGCCAGAGCGTTGCTACTGGAGTGGGCTTCTGCGGAGCAGTTTTCTCTCGCTGCAGTCGCAGCAGCGCGACGGAAGCCAGCGGCACCGTTCGCAGCAGCGAGCCGACGGCCAGGCGTTCACCGTGGTCTTCCTCGCTGTGTCTATTGCACGTGTGTGTGTGAGTGAGTGAGTGAGTGTTGGGTGGCCATGCTTGCCACTGGCTTCGGCGACCACTGCAACGGATCTGGGGGGGTGGATGAGTTCTGGGGGCCTCTCCGCCTGTACTGTTGTGCGCATTGCGATTCGGTGCCGCGTGTAGTTCTCTTCCTTGCCCTCTCTTCCTCTCTTTCTCTCTCTCTCTCTCGCTTTCTCTCTCTCTCTCTCTCTCGCTTTGTCTCTCTCTCTCTCTCTCTCTTTCTCTCTCTCTCTCTCTCTTTCCTCTCTGACTCCCTTTCTCTCTCTCTCTCTCCCAGTTCCTCTCTCTCTCTCTCTCTCCTTTCCCTCCCGTCTTCCGCTACCAGCGATGTATTGCCGATTCCAGGCCGATGTACCCCCTCCCCCAACGCGAGCCACCCCTCCCCTACCGCTGCCTTCGCCGCGAGGGCCAAGGTCAGCATCGCCCAGCCGATCCCCCTCCCCGCTGGGCCACGGCATCTGCGCCCCACAGGTCACCCCCCCAAAGCGTGGGGCAACGATAGGGGGGGGACTGGCACAGGGGGGGGGGGGGGGATGCATCCACCTGGGAGTCGGCGATACCTCGCCGACAGATCGGCGATAGGCCTCCGATAGTGAATCCGCACCCTCCTGGGCAGATTAGGGCTATCGGGCCCCTATCGACGATCAGTGGGCGATTGGGGGTCGATGCATCCCCCCCTATGCCTATCCCCCCCTATCGTTGCACCCCTCCCCTTCTCCTCCGCCCTCCTGCCCTCCGCATTCTGCCCCCCCCTCCTCCGGCCAGGCTCCGACTCCGACGTTGCGGCAGACGGCGCCGCGCCGCCGACGGAGGAGGCCGTGGCCGGCAGGGAGGTCGCCCGGCGGCTGTCGCACGAGCTGATCCAGAATGCCTTGGACGACGACGGGGGCCAAGGCGGGGCGCTCCCTTTGTGCCACCGCCTGCTGCCTGCTACAACAGCCGTGCGGGCCCCGCCTGCTGCTGCTGCCGCCGCTGCTGCTGCTGCTACTGCTGCTGTTGCTCCTCCTCCTCCTCCTCCTCCTCCTCCTCCTCCTCCTCCTCCTCCTCCTCCTCCTCCTCCTCCTCCGCTGGCTACGGGCTTTGCATGGCAAGTGGCTACGACATAGAGCGATGGCTTTAGCGGTCATGCAAGCGCAGAGCCAACTCAAGTTCTGACGTGGAGTTCAAGGAGCTGCTGGAGCCGTGGTTATGACGCTGAAGAGACTGCAGTGGACTGCCATTTCTTGGGATCGCTGGATGACTGACACGAGGGGCTACACTTGATCTACATGACCTGGGGATGGCGAGGCTCAATAATGGAATCAACCAAAATACGGAACGACGCCTGCTGCAGGACCTGGCCGAAAAGTCGGACTGCAAGCCTCTTCGTGGCGGCCAGGGGTAACTTGATGCTGGCAGTATCTGTCGACGGCCGTCTTTCCCCAGAGGCGGCGGAGGGCATCAAGGCCAAGGAGGTCGAGGGGGCCTCCAGCAAACGCAATTGTGCCGTGACGGCGGTCCGTGGCAGCAAACCCAGGGAGTGTAGGCCTAGTGCCCTGAATTTATAGTCCTCGCCGCATTGGGGAGTGCGGTCACGACTCCCTACTGGGAAGGCTGTCATTGGGTGCATCCTGATCGGCACACCTCGCGGACTTGAGTTCCGCGAGCAAAAGGACTTTAAACGGAGAAGGTTAAAGGCGATATATAAATCGAGCATGTACCGCTGCCGTGCCTGGCTCAAGCCGGGCCCGGACAGATATGTGACTGTGCCTCACTGAGGCGCACTACTTGCATCCGAGATCGGAAAACATCCTTTTCCATTGACGATGCCCATCCTACTCTTTACTCCAGATCCCATGCTTCGTCTCGCTCTCTTGCTCATGCGCTATGAGCCTAAGCCTGGGATATGGAAGCGCCTAAGGCGGACTGTATACCTAAGCTTACCAGCTTGTTTTCGACTTGGTAGCGGAGCTGGCTACACTCTCGTGTGGCTGGCTCTCGCTCTGATTCCTGTAATCCACGGCACAACTTGGTGGACTACTACTACGGTGGAATACCATGTTGCGCCGGCTCTGCGAGGAGCGGAGCCAGTCCGCGATCGAGCTAGCGGGGTCACCCGCGAACTCGAGACGCTTTCTCCTACTTCACTGCGCTACTTCACTCCTGACTTCCACCAGATGCCAATCGGCAACTCGATCGAGAACGTGGTCACCCTGCGGGGCTACCCGCAGCGGGGCCACCTGCATCCCGTGCCGGTCAGGCGCCTCACGGCTACCACGCCAGAGCCTGACAAACCACAGCCTAAACCAATCACCGAAGCCGAAATGCATATGCATTGGATCAAGATAACTATCTTCGGCATTCTATGGGTGATAATGGGATGTGCTGTGGGATACATGCGGCAGGGGATGGACGACACGCGTACTACTGGCCCTACATGGGACCCTGCCGGTACTACGCCTTTCCGCGAATATGTTCGCGAAGTACATGCATGGTTAAACGTAACGAGCGGCAATATGACACCACCACAACAAGCTGCAGCACTACAACGAGGCCTTCAAGGTCTGGCTCGTCGTATCGCCATGCAGGTCCCCTCCCAGATCATCAATTATGGTGTAACTGTCAATGGACAGCCAACGGATGCAGTAACCTACATACTGTACTTACTGAGCACCAAATTTGAAAATCTGGAAGATGAGCGCCAGCTCAACTCTGGCACGGCCCTTATCGACTTCCGCGTCGAAAGGGGCGAGCGAATCGACTCAGTATTAGCTCGATTCGAGATGGCCCGTGACGAGGCTAACTCTGTTGGCTTTGTCATCCCCAACTTTCAGATCCTAACGCTGATTCTCTTCAGAGCGTTAGGCGTTGGCGCGTCACGAGCCCAACACCTGCTTGAGCCCTTTAATCATCAGATGCCCCGAACACAAGCAGACTATGACAGGCTGCTGACCAGGATGAGGAACTACGGACATGTTGCCGAGCGCTCTCCTGGCAACATAGCGGGTATCTTCACAGGGCACCACTCACATGCAGGTGTCTATGCCACGACTGCGGGGTCACCCGCTGGTCCTGGCGAGCCAAATCCCTGGGCTGACCCAGCCGATATGCCCAACGAGGCCACTGCCCTTTTAGGGCAGACCGGCCAGGCATCGGCAGAGGCAGCTGAGGCGAACGCCTGGTCGAACTACTCGCCAGGCGCCGCCTACACTGCAAGCCCGCCCTCGGGCACAACCCTCTGGGGCCAAGCGGAGTCATCCGCTCAATGGTCTCAGCCACCCTCACCGTTTGAATCTGGCACTGACACAGATACTTCATCTGACGATGAGCACAATGGAATAGTCTCTGCTGGTAATGACTATCCAGCGGACGACACTCACCTTTCTGAACAGCAAAGGGCGGAAGCCGCCTTTATGGCTTATCGCAAATCAAAACGCCGTTGGAGGCGCTTTATGAAGAAACCAGTCAGAAAGGTGAGACGTGCAGTACGCCGACATTTCAAACAATTTGGAAAGGGTCGTGGTAAAGGGGGTCGCAGACGCCGTATGCATGGTAGGGGTATTACTGCTTTCCTCACGTCCTTAACTGATATGGCTTTTGAAGAAGTTCTTATCGGAGGCAAAGGTCGAGGTCACAGGCGGACCTCCGGTAAGGGGAAGGGACGGAGGGGCAACCCTAGGGACGCTTCTGGTAACACTATGAAGTGTCATACATGCGGTAGCACAGAGCATTTGCGCGATCAATGCCCGAAGGGGAAAGGAAAGGGATCCGTACATTTGGCTCAAAACTCTTTTATGGATGACATAGATTATATTGACTACGAGTTTTACGTCAATCCAGAAGCGGCTCCCGCTGCGGGCTCCTCCACGTATTACGTGATGGCCCGCTATGCTGAAGCAACTGTGGCCCTGGAAGACTACGCAGTGACGCTCTTCGACGAGTTCCACGGCTGGGACGAGGTCGATGAGATTGCGTACAACGCTTGGTTCGGTCTTCCAGCGGGGCCACCCGCCGGTGACGAGGTCTCCGAAGCCGAGACCGTCCCGGCAACAGAGGAAGAACTCACCGCCGCGCTGGCCCCACAAGTGATTGGCATGCCGTTGCTGCCAAATCCGTCGGGGGCTGGTTCGGAGATGGGAGACGCCGATGACGAAATGCGGGGCCATCCCGCGTATTCCGATTCCGAAGAATCCGAAGAAGATTACAACGACATGCTCCAAGAGCAGGTTTCAGAAGCAATCCGACTCTTGAGTGCGCCAGCACAGCAGCAGATGACGATGAACGAACTGCTGTCACACCCAGGAGTTGCACGTCTACGTCCATACTTGGATTCGAACATGTCAGCATCTCAGATGCTCACAGCACTCCAAGCTCTAGCGGGGTCACCCGCCGAGGAGATGCTAGACACAACAGCGGGGCCACCCGCTTGGTCTATGGATGTATTCATGCAAGGTTGCGATCAAATGAATATTAACGACCTCTCGATGGAGCAGTTAAATGACATCGGATACTTCAGGAGCCCGTATCAAAACGTGTTCATGGCCCAGGACAGCTCAGAGGACTCGGATGAAATGCGGTACGCCAAGAGGGACAGGCGACCGTCGCCTCCCCGAGACTCCGAGCAGGACGATCAAAGGCCAGTGACACATGGTAGTGCGTCGGCGGGGCCAGCCCGCGGAAGGAGCCGCTCTGCTCCTAGACGCCCTACGCACGACGAATCGGGCTACCCATATAGCACTGAGCACTCCGTTGGAGTATCTGCTCAGCAGGTGCCGGATTGGTACATTAAATGGTACCCCGGCTACTCTATGGAGACTCTTCGGCATTGGTATTCTAAGGAATACTGCACCAAAAGGGACGAGACTGGCGCAATAATCCGTACCAAGGGCGGCAAAACCAAGACGCCAGAGGCCTGGGACAAAAGGGCGAAGAAGCAGGAGATCATCACTGACCGCAAAACGTACAGAAAACAGGTGTGTCAGTGTGAGCCCTTTAAAGGCCACATGCGCAGGTGTCCGATGGACCGCCCTTCCAGGAGCCCTCACCACGGAGAGACCCCGTGGAATTGGTCTCATGGAGACGACGCTGGCAACGTCCATGACCCAAACAAGGAGGTTCCTGGAGGGGGGAAGCGCATCACTGAGGCCGATCGCGTCCCTATGACCGAAGAAGTGGCCAACACCGTCAGGGAGAATTGGGCAAAGCTCCCCAATGACCATCGCCTCAAGGAGTGGAACCGCCGATTCCACAAGGAGGCGGGGTCACCCGCAGAATCCAGTGGGGAAGCGGGGTCACCCGCAGAACCCAGTGGGGAAGCGGGGTCACCCGCAGAATGGGGAAGCGGGGTCACCCGCAGAATCCAGTAAGGAAGCGGGGTCACCCGCAGAAGCACCACCAGCCGCTGGAACTGCGGAGGATGAATGGATAGATGTTGCCTCTGCCGCCGGCACTGACCGAACCGAACTAAATGAGGAATGGGCGGCAGAAGATGGCTCAGAAAATCCGTTCCCTGACGGAAGCGCCTGCTGGTACTACAGCTCTACGGCGCAAAAGTGGTTCTGCACGAGGGTACTCTACCGCCATGAGAATGGCAAATACAAGCTGGCCATAAAGGGTGTTGCCGACATCGACCAGATGAGGCAGGTTATCCATGATCATGGCCAGCCAGAAGGCCCTCCGAGAGACCCTCCTGGTCCACGACCAGGCAAGGGCAGCAGACCACCTCCAAGACCTAAAGCCGACTCCTCATCGTCACCGACTCCTGCAAAAAGGCACTCGTCCAAGAGTCCCGAAGACACGCAGGGGCGGGCGAAGGTCAGGGCGGTCGCCAAGACGGACGACCCTGAGCCGGCAGATCCTCCTGGTCCATCGGTGACAGAGAGGAAGAAGGTCTTTGCTGGACCATCGACCCCGAT